CGGGCGGCCCGGCGTGGCGCTCCAGCGGCCTCCAGCGACCCGGTCCCCGGTCGTCCCCGCAGTGTCGGTGGTGATGGGCATCCCGAGCGTGCGGCGCGAGGTGCACTCCTACCTGACGGACACGCTGCACTCGCTCATCTCCGAGCTGAGCCCGCAGGAGAAGGAGGACTCGGTCATCGTGGTGCTGATCGCCGAGGCGAGTGGCGGGCGCGGGAGCGGAGCGGGGACAGCGGGACGGGAAAGGAAACCTGCGCGGGAGAAGCTCGCGGACGCGCTTTCGCCGGCTCAGTCACAAATGTGGGGAGAAGCCGGGCGTGGTGGCACACGCCTATAATCCCAGCACTGGGGAGGCTGAGGCAGGAGGATCATTGCGAGTTCGAGGCCAGCCTGAACTGCATAGCGAGCCCCTGTCTCAAAAAGAAAAAACAAAAACAGATTTAGGGAGTTAAGAAGGAGCCCCGAGCGCCCCCTCGTGGCGGTGCCGGTTACCGGTCCATCCACCAGCTCCCCGCGGGGCGCTGGCTGGGGGTCCCAAGGCCCTGGGGTCCCAGCCTTCCCTGCCCTTAGGAGGGTTAGGGTTAGGGTTAGGGTTGCTCCGCCCTCCCCTTCTCCCAGCGCTCTGTGTGCGGCCGGGCTCAGGGCTGCTCGGTCTTCCCGCAGACTGACCCCCAGTACACGGCGGCAGTGACGGAGAACATCAAGGCCTTGTGAGTTGCGCCCCAAGCTGGAGGAGGGGCTGCGGCGGGGCGGGGGGCTGCTCCCTGCCGCGGAGCGAGCGCCTCCCTTGCGGGGGAGGGCACGGCCCCCGGCTCCGGCGCACCTCGGTGCCTCAGACTGGCTGCCGGGGCCTGGTTACCCGCTTTATCTCGGGGGCTGCTACCCACTGGGCCTTCCTGCCGCCTCCCCAGGTTCCCCGCGGAGATCCACTCGGGGCTCCTGGAGGTCATCTCCCCTTCCCCCCACTTCTACCCTGACTTCTCCCGCCTGCGCGAGTCCTTCGGGGACCCCAAGGAGAGAGTCAGGTACCTGCCGCCCGCGCGAGCAGCCGCGGCGCGGGGCCCGGGCGTGGCCGCGGCCGCCTGCGCGGGGTGGGGGCACGTCCCGCCGCTCTGGGCCTCCCTGCGGAGATCGCGGTGGGCCGGGTTCCAGGGCTGAGGCTCCTGCGCCCGCCCCAGGTGGAGGACCAAGCAGAACCTGGACTACTGCTTCCTCATGATGTACGCGCAGTCCAAAGGCATCTACTACGTGCAGGTCAGGCCCGGCCCCGCCTGCGCCCTCCGCCCGCTCGCCGGCCTCGGCCCGCCCGTGCCGCCCTGACCCTGACCCTTGTGCAGCTGGAAGATGACATCGTAGCCAAGCCCAACTACCTGAGCACCATGAAGAGCTTCGCCCTGCAGCAGCCCTCGGAGGACTGGATGATCCTGGAGTTCTCGCAGCTGGGCTTCATCGGTGCGCCCCTCCCTCTGCGCCCTGTGGCCTGGCCGCGCCTGGCCGCCGCCTGCCCGGCCCTGCCGGCTGCGGGGCACACCCGCCTGGCCCTCGTGCTCCCCTGCTGGAAGCCCACCCGGCGGCCTGGCCGAGGGAGGAGGAGGTGCAGGCCTCCCGCCCTCACTGCCCGCTCCTGTGCCCAGGGAAGATGTTCAAGTCGCTGGACCTGAGCCTCATCGTGGAGTTCATCCTCATGTTCTACCGGGACAAGCCCATCGACTGGCTGCTGGACCACATTCTGTGGGTGAAGGTCTGCAACCCTGAGAAGGACGCGGTGAGCTGGCGCGCAGAGGGGCGGGGAAGGTGGGCCAGCAGAACCGCGTCCTTGCGCACGTGTCTGAGCGGGAGAAGAGGGCGCTGTCGCTGTGGGAAGGCCTGTGCCCAGCTGTGCCCGGCTGAGCCCAGGATATCGCTCCCTCCGCAGAAGCACTGTGACCGGCAGAAGGCCAACCTGCGCATCCGCTTCAAGCCGTCGCTCTTCCAGCACGTGGGCACCCACTCGTCCCTGGCCGGCAAGATCCAGAAGCTGAAGGTGGGCGCGCCTGCCGCTTCCCGCGGGGTGCAGGGAGTCGGAGGGGCGGGGGCGGTGGGCCGGGTCATCTCAGACCGGACCCGGCGCAGGACAAGGACTTCGGCAAGCAGGCCCTGCGGAAGGAGCACGTGAACCCGCCCGCCGAGGTGAGCACCAGCCTCAAGACGTACCAGCACTTCACCCTGGAGAAGGCCTACCTGCGCGAGGACTTCTTCTGGGCCTTCACTCCCGCCGCAGGGGACTTCATCCGCTTCCGCTTCTTCCAGCCCCTGCGCCTTGAACGGTCAGTCATCTGGCGGGCAACAGGGCCCCGGGGAGGGGCAGCACGGCCGCAGGGTCCAGGCTCTACGCTCATTTTGGGCCTGCAGGTTCCCCTCCCTGACCCCAAGTTTCCTTATTGAGAAACGGGGCTCACAGTGAAACTGTTGAAAGAGCGGGTCAGGCAGGCGCTGGGTGCTCCGTGATGCCTGTGGCCACCGCCCCAGGGAGGGGCCTGTCCTTGGCCCGGGGGCCCTGCGGCCCGCCTGGGGCTCCGTGGGCCCTGCCTGGCTCGTGCTGGGCCCCGCGGTGTTCTGGGCCTGGCAGCAGCTCACCACCGGCTTGGCCGTGTGTAGCTTCTTCTTCCGCAGTGGGAACATCGAGCACCCGGAGGACAAGCTCTTCAACACGTCCGTGGAGGTGCTGCCCTTCGATGTGAGTGCGGCAGGGCGCGGGCGTGCACTGGGCACCGGGTGCCAGCTCCAGGCCACCCACCCCAGCCTCTTGATCTTGCCCCTAGAACCCCCAGTCGGAGAAGGAGGCCCTGCAGGAGGGGCGCTCGGCTGCCCTGCGGTACCCACGGAGTCCCGACGGCTACCTGCAGATAGGTGAGCAGGCGCAGGGCTGCACAGGCGGGGCGGCGGAGCGGGCGCAGGGCTGCCTGGCGCCTGGCTTCGGCCGTGAGCTCTCCTTCCTGCTGCCCTCCCAGGCTCTTTCTACAAGGGCGTGGCCGAAGGCGAGGTGGACCCGGCCTTTGGCCCCCTGGAGGCCCTGCGCCTCTCCATCCAGACCGACTCCCCGGTGTGGGTCATTCTGAGTGAGGTGAGGCTGGGCACATGCAGGGGTCCCCGGGAGCCCGAGGTGGTGCCCCAGGCCGCTGACCGGAGCCCGATTCCCCCAGATCTTCCTGAAAAAGGCCGACTAAGGGAGCCTTCCGAGGCGCTCCTGGCCTGCCTAAGAGGTCTCGCCGCTGCCCCCGGAGGGCCCGGCGTGGCCACGGCGGTGGCGCTGCCGGCTGCCGGCTGGCTGGCCCGGGGTCCACCGCTGGCCCGGAGGCCCCAGGAGCTGGTGCTGCCCCGGCCTGGGCCGGGCCACAGGAGGCTGGCGGCCCCACACTGTGCCTGAGGGCCGGCCTGCGCCGCCCGAACCGAACCGGAACCGCACCCCCGACGCCGACCGGCCGGCCTCGCCAGGCCGTTTTAGAGGAGCTTTTCCTTGGGCGCTGCTGTCTCTGGCGCGAACACTGGAATGCATATACTACTTTATGTGCTGTGTTTTTTATTCTTGGATACATTTGATTTTTCACCTAAGTCCACATATACTTCTATAAGAGCGTGACTTGTAATAAAGGGTTAATGAAGTGTGTGCCTCCAATGTGGGCGCTCGGCGTAGGCGCTCGGGTACCCCTAAGAGCCCCGAGACCCAGCGGGAAGCACAGCCCGCGCCTGGGAGGACTGGACGGCGGCAGGCGTCTGCGCGTCCCGGGCCTTCCGGACGGTCGGCCCCTCGCCCCTGGCAGGGGCAACGCGCACCTTCCCAGGCACTCCGGCCAGGTGCCCCGACGCCCGGGCCTGGACACCCCCTCGTCCCCGCGAGCTCCCCGCCCCGTGGACGCGCGACCCCGTCGCTCCCGTACGGCCTCCTCCCCAGCCAGCCGCCGCCTCGGCGCAGCACTAGCGCGGTCCCCAGGCTCCGGGCGCCTGCGCTGGCCAGGCACAGGCCTGCCTGGCTGGGGCCGAGGAGGGGCAGTGCCGCCTGGCGGAACTTTATTAGGGGCTGGGAGCGCGGCGGGGCCCCTCCCGCGCCCCACGGGCCGGCTCTTCGTCCTTCGGCTCAGGCCGTCCGCAGCAGCGCCCGCAGCGGTCTGAGGAGCGCGGCCCGCGCCGCGGCCGGAAGGAAGTGGGCGAGCAGGCCGAGAGCCGCCAGCGCCAGCAGCAGCCAGAGTGCGCGCGCGCTCGTGTACAGCGGGTCCAACCTGCGGGCGGCGCTCAGCCGGGAACAAGGAGGCCCCGCCCTCAGCCCCGCCCACCC